GGGTTTTCACCAATCACACCAACAGCCGCTTTCAACTGTTTTTGCATTATTTCGTTATTTTTTCTTCTTATTTTTTTAAATAAACATTTTTTAAAATAGAAACTTTTTTCTACAATATTTAGTCAAAAAATGACGACCATATTTAATTAATTTTGGAATTGCATTGTTTAAATTTTCAGCATGTATAATTTTTTTTTAAATCAAATACAATTAACTCTGTTGTGACATGAAAGAAATAATTTCACTTTTTAAATCATTAAAAGTAAAGTAACCTCGTCAGTTTTTATTCTCACCACTGTAACAAAACAAAATCGGGAATGGTTATAGGTTTATATTTAAGCTCACTAAGAATTTGCAGCCCACAATGTTTACCCAAAGAAGAAATATACATAGAAAACGCGTTAAAGAACTTCCTATATACTTATTATTTCATACACAGTGCTAAGAGAAAAAACATACAGAATACATGACCACAAAAAGATAACATTATTAATAACAATAAACTTGAAAAGAAAAAACAAGTAGATAAATTACATAATAACTGCACTATCCAAAACAATCTATCTAATCTAAACAACATCGAAATAATACAGTTCACTTATGTGCCATTGCATAGACAATCATGTATCTTTCGATACATGACTGACGAGGCAGATTTTTTCCCCGCAGTAGGTTGCCATTTCTTTCTGCAGTAGACCAAAGCAATAGAACCCGGTCTCTCCTGCTATTTACCTATAGCTGGAGGTGGAGAGAGTAGATGAGGATTCATACCTTTCCTAAGGGTATTAGCACGTCAGTCAGTTATGTGCTATGCGTGATACACGCTTTAGATCATGTATCTGTTGTTAAGAAGGTAGATGTTCGCTTATTGGTGTCGAAAAATGCCCCCTGTTTACATAACAAAATAATATTACCTGACTTCAAATAGGGAAGATCAGGATGCGTAAACGATAAATATATAATTTCATATTATGTTTATTATTTTAGAACAAACATTTGCAATCTTCTTTTATTTTGTTTTTATTATTAAAAATTAAATTTCGTCATTAAATGACTTATAAGGAGTTGATATACTGCCAAAAAAGAAACAAACAAGCAATGTCACTCAATAACCCTCTACTTTGAGTGACCCTTGGGCCTTGCATTGAGCGAACTATCAGTAATTTTTTTTAAAAAAACTATCGATCACACGTAGCAGTTAAGAATAAATTTGGAGTGTATTAACATGACTTAGTTTTTACACAACAGTAGCATCTGTATCTTATATATAAAATACGGTGTATGTGTATGTGTTTTTGCGTGTGTGTGTCTAAGCAACTCCTTCGCTCCCACTGGTACGATTTCAATGATTCATAGCTCATTCAAAAGCCCTAGAAAAGTTAGGCACAGGGAACGATTTTCGTTGAGCTCTGATCACAGGTTGCCGGATTATGCGAGGTTAAAAATATATATTAATACCTTATACTAGCTAATATCGTTTCTTTCATGGTCCAAGAGGTGTAACTTTTATTTTCCTTTTGTATCCAAAATTACAGTGCACGTATTATCAAAAACTAGCTTAAAATGCTCCCTATCGGGCGGCATTAACTTAGCTCCTATAAAGGACTCTTCGTTTGGCCATCATCACAATAGTTAGGAAGGAGTAGATGAGATAGGCATTAATAAACTATAGAAGAACTCAAAATTGATCGCTGCATTTAAGTATTGAATTAAGTTTAAGCTTACCTTTTAAAAGTTCAACGATAATTCTTCTGCTGCCACTTAATTTAAACACGGTTTGATGTACGTAGATCCTTATTTTCCGTACAAACAATTATTTTTATTTCATTGGTGATAGAACAAGGGACAATTTATAAGATAAAATTAATATAGTATAAAGATGGGAAAATGGAAATCAGAATTAGTTATACATTCAACATTTGAACAGTTAAAAAACATAATAACTAATTAAGTATACCGACATTATGGAATCTATATGAATAAATACGAAATTGGAGCTAAATTCTCCCTCGAATTCTGAGATTAAAAAGCCCCAGCTCTATTTTATAGTAATTTGGTATTTACTCGACCCCCAACGAAGTCGCGTTGTGACACAAGATCGGTTTAATGTGGAGAGCCCGAGCGCGTACAACCGGGCTACTAACAAAATTCTCCGTCGGTTGCGCTAGCCTCGATATGAGCACTGATACCTTTCTCTGGTGCAATGAGGGGGCGCGGCCTCGGGCAGCTGTTCCTCATGGCTGGGCACCTCTCAGTATAATTTTCTTCAGTTGCGACTCTGTTCTTCGACAGAGTGTACTCTGCCCGAAGACAGAGACGCAACAGAGGGATGATAAAGAAAACGTGCTACAAACTACTTTACAGTAATTTTTGCATATTGATTTAAAAAAAAAAAGGAGTTTATTTCATTAATTAACTTTCCTTCATTACTGTTCTTTTATTCGAGAATTGTTTTGATTTTCATATCAAAAATAATTCTCTTTAGGAAAATCGTCTTATATAGTGCAGAAAAGTGTTTGAAATTTGCATTTTACTTGGCCTTCAACAAGTTGGCATCTATTTGTAAAACTTTCCTTAACTATAACAAGCCAATTTATGAATGAAATGTTCATTTAAAATTTTTGTTTCAAATATTTCAAATAGTGAATATATCTTACTTTGCGAAGCGATAGCGAGCGGACGAAGCCTGCTAGTGTCTAATATAGTGGCCAACAGTAAAGAATTCTGTCGGACGTCGAATTCTCTTGTGATTGCTTCACTTACATTTAAAGTGCAAGTTACATACTGCACGCACGTAGAAAGGTGGTTAAAAGGCGTTAGGAGATAAATCAAAACGCCAAATAAACAGAGAACATTATTCAGAGTCTAGCCACGAATAAATATATGTATATATAGAGGGAAACGCAAAGAATCCATTGAATAAATCAAAATCCTCTTTACAAGTTGTCGAATATGCTAACATTAGTAACAACGCGCAGTTTCTTACGGTCTTTTTACTTTGTCTCCCATTAAATTTAATGTCATTATATGAGATACGACAGAGACACAGTCAGGATCTGAAGGCTGTACTCGGTGTAGTTTCGCCCAATACCGCAAATTGCTACAAAACCAAAAGATTAACCTAAAATCTAGAGTCATGTTCTTAAATAGCCTCATCAGATCGAGTCTCTCATATAAATGTTATGAATAGCAACAAACGCATTTAGAAATGTCTAATCAGCCATATGGTGATCATCGGAGTCGTCACCCTCTCTCTTTATTCTGTTTCTCTCCCCCTGGTGACGGTGGCGAAGATGGCCGTAAACCAAAGATAGTTTGACTAGGCGATTCGCGCAAATTTGGTTTTGGTGGACAACCCTGCGCGACGGGGAAGATTACACACTTGACCAGAAGCGCCTCCCTCGCGCCTCAAAGGGGATTGAGACAGGCTGGTTGCATCGGGCTGTCGAGTGCTCGGTCTGTAAAGGTCCGCCTTGGTTACACCAGCCCGACTGGCGCTGCCCTCTTCCGCCGGTTAGGTTGTTGAGATCGTGTAGATCTTTACCTATTCCGCCGGTAGGGTCTTCAGGGGTTGGACGCGTTCAGTCTGGTCCTTCCTCTTTGACCTTACCGCCACGGGTGGCCCTACAGGAGTTGGAACTCCAGGCGGATTCGCTCTTGGGATTACTGACCAGGCTTGATGTTGCTTAACTCTGTTGATCATATGGAAACCAGTGTTTCATTGTGATGTGGCTGTAAACAAAAATGTACTAAGTTCAGTGTTCCTTACATTTGTGGATAAGCTTCGTAAAAAAAAAAACAGCTCATGATCGATCAATGGTTATAAAGTAATCTCACAGACTGCAATGAGTGCTCTACACTTGAAGACTTATGTCAGACTAAGTTAGAATTATTAAATACCTATATGATTTCCACATGATTTTTTGAAATTTTATTTTGATTTCACTTCAGTTTTTATAAAAATGGCTTGAAGTGAATGAACATTGTAGGTATTAGTGAGGACCATCCTTATTCAAACCTTGTGGATTGGTGCTACAGAATCACAAACAAAGAACTGCACCAAATAACAGAAACCATATCACCTAAGGACTTTCAACAGCAGCAAGAACTAAAATGAATATCACATGTAACTCAAAGAGAAAATAATACCATAATGAAAATGTTGATATTCCACATGACATCAAACAAAAAGTTAGGAAGGAAATCCCCATCACTACTAGAAAGATTGAGAAACCTATTTTCATGAAACATTTTTTTAATAGAAAGATTTCCATATAAAATGGCCTTACAGAAGTTGGAACTCCAGAAGGCCTCACTCTTGGGATTACTGGGACAAGTAAGCCCTATACGATGACAAGGAACGACTATATATATTTACACTTTATGTTGTAGTGAACAGTTTCTTATCAAATGTACCACTTTTGCTTATTATTACTTTAATGACAGTAATAGAAATGAATGCAACCACTTTCTCAGATCAATGGTTAAAAAATGGCTTTGAGTTAATGAAATATCTAGGTAAGAGAGGACGCCCTTATTCGAACCTTGTGGATTGGTGCTACAGAATCACAGACAAAGAACTGTATCAAATAACAGAAACCACATCCTTTGTGAAATTTCAACAGCAGCAACAACTAAAATGGATATCCCATGTAACTCAAAGAAAAAATAATTACATAATCAAGATGTTGACATTCCACACAACTTCAAACAAAAAGTTAGGAAGGAAACTCCTATCAATACTAGAAAGAGCGTTAACACCTACTGGACTTGAGGAAACCATTTTCCTGGATAATTGCTTTTTTGAGAAAGATTTGGTAGATTTCACCCGATAGTAGTACTGGTTGCTCGGTCATTCAGTGCCAGATATTTCCTTATAAAGGAAACGGCTAATATTAATATTACCATATATATATATATATATATATATATATATATATATATATATATATATATATATATAAGCACTTTTGGTACATCAATAAGTTCGTGGCTGAATGATGGAGAAAGCTTATTTTGTCCTTTTCTTTCATTTTTTTTCTTTTCTTTCTATTCTTTACGCCACTGAACTTTTCTTTATTAGTTGCCTTTCTTTTTTTTCTTTATCCTTTTCTCTTTGTTCGTCTGTAGATTTTTCTTTCTAAATCTCTTTTCGTTTTCCTTCTTTCTGATTTTTAAACCACTACATATTCTTGGATTCTAGGGAAGGAAGCATGTTGGTGTTAGCGAAGATCATCCTTATTCGAACCTCGTGAGCTGGTGCTACAGAATCACAAACAAAGAACTGTATCAAATAACAGAAACCACATCCCTTGTGGACTTTCAACAGCAGCAACAACTAAAATGGATAGCACACTTAACTCGAAGAGAAAATAATTACATAATCAAGATATTGACATTGCCCATCACTTCAGATAAAAGCAGTCCTGGGCATGACAATAAAGTACATCCGGCAGCAAGGCCTCTGATCGGGAGATAGGAGGGCTTGACAAAAGCGTAGAACCACATCTTAATTACAGTTATCCCCAGGTCCACTTGACTCGGAGTAGCACCTGTTACGGTCCCAGCTATAAACAACTAGTTTTTATAGTATAAATACCAGCAATACATTTTTATATAAAAAAATTACCAACAATACCTATTTGTAGTGAAATTACCGACAATACCTCTTTATAGCAAAGTTACCAAAAATACATTTTATCCGTAGTTGAAGTTGTACAGTTGCGTCAAAATATTTAGATTTCGGCATTAAATAACCCATATCGGTTGATATGCCGCTAAACAAATTCAACCAAACCAACCAAACAACCTATTTTCCTGAAAAATTGCTTTAATAGAAACATTTTATAAATTTCAATCGACAATCACGTTGACTGCTCGGTCAATGAACGCTGAATGTTTCCTTATAAGGAAACGGCTAATATTACCATTACCCTTCGTTTACTTGAATAATAAATCAGTTTATTTATTGCAAAGGATTGGTAAAAATCGATAAGGGTGTCTTTGATATTTTAACTGCCTAACTCAAAAACGGACGTATGTGTGTTCTTATGGTTAGAGGCTTCGAACGATAAATCGACGATTCAAGTTTGAGATTGTTACATTCAATTTCGCACAAACACCCTTTGGAAAGATATGAATCCCACCCAGTTATAAGAAATAACAGGCCAAACTGGTATCTTTAGCCGTGGTTGTCAACCAGTATATGAAAAGGTTAACTCTGAATTAAAAACTATATGTAGCCCATACTTGAACTGTAACTTAGGTCTGCTCAGTGCAGTTGCATTATAAAACCACAGGTCGTCTCTGTGGATGTTGAAGAAACAAGAAAGGGTCCGTGCAGATGCGCATGCTTGGAAACAAGCAGTCATACTGAAGATGAGAAATCACATTGATTCGAAACAGCTTTGATGCTGATCTTAAAAATGGAAATTTTCATGGAATACATTGGAATATTTTCGGATAGTGGCTGAATCTATGATAGTTTCTATAAAAAAAGATTTTGCAAAGCTCGTAAAACAATAAAACCCTAATATTATCCATAGTCATTGAGAGAGATTCCCGCATCAAAAATCATTATTAGTGAAATGAAAAATAGTAATAGACGAAGACTTAAGGCAACATAAATGTGGTTCTAGAGGAGGATGCTGAGAATGACATGGATTGATGCGAGGAACGTCGAAGTTTTAGAGAAAATCGAAACAAGAAACACTTATACTTTAAATCAAAAAGAGACAGTTAAAATTTCTCTGGCGCATAATGAGGAAAGAAGGCTTGGAAAATCCAGTACTCACAGGATATATTGAAGGCAAGAAGGACAGAGGGAAACAGTGCATGACAAAGCGCTACAAAGGAAAGGAAATTGTGGAGAACCATAATCATTCACGACCTGAAGGAACACGGCACATAGAAAAATAGAAGCTGTTAAAATGGTTAATTATAATTATGAGAGGGGCGCTAAAAAACTAAAAAAAAACTCTCGATGCAACCTAGAAGACCTTCCAAACAATTCTAATTTTGATCAGATTTTAGGTGTGTCAGGCCGAAAAATTTTCACCAACCCCCTTCACAACACAAGCAATACTATGAAAAACTGATTTCGCCAAATTTCCGAGTGCAAGTGCTTAAATTTGCATGCAGAAGTCAGAGAACGATCAAAACGTAAATTGCTCTGTCGTGTACCGAAACTTCAGAAAGAGTTATCTGCTGTTCTTAAACAAAACCCCGAAATGTTTGTTCTTTTCTGTCTGCCATCTGCATGGCTGGTGCTAAACTCCACAACACACTACGCCTTCTTGGCCTCTGGTTTTGCACTGATATGAGGTGCAGGGACGATATGGAGTCAACTGCTTCGTCTACTTGCAAGAAAAGTTGGTTCACATCGTGCCAGAACATTTTTCTCGTCAGATTCTATCTTGCACATTTACAAATCTAACATTCGTTCGTACATTGAATACTGTTGCCATATCTGGTCTGATGCTCCGACTGTACACCTCGAGATTCTTGAGAAAATTCAAAGAAGAATCTGTAATGTAATCGATCCCGACCAGGCCTCTCGACTTTAGTCACTTTCTCACCGACGTATCGTGGCTTCCCTCTGACTTTTCTACAAATATTTCCCTGATAACTCCTCAGACGAACTTTTTCACCTGGTATCCCGACTACATGAATTTAAGACTGGCAACTGGGTCCTACCGTTTTAATGTTGAACTAGCTAAATACAACCGCTATTTCTACTCCAACAGTTTCTTTTCTCGCACCTCCCACCTGTGGAAATCCTTTCCGTTTTCTTGCTTCCCTGATAACTACAATCTTTAAAAATTTAAATGTAACGTCAATCGCTATCTTTTGTCTTCTTGAGCTGCGTTCATTTTTTTTAATCTTTTCTTCAATTTTCCATATTCCCACTCTTTTCTTTCTCTATCACTTTCACTCCCTGTCAACCCCTGACTACTAGTGGTATTACCGCCTTGCTTGGGGTGAAATGATTAAAAAAAAAAGAATATTTTCGATGCGAATTTGGCATGTCTGTTGGGTTAAGTCGTAAAAATAAACCCCGTTCTTGTTTACCAACTTTTTTCTTTAAAAAAATAAATTACAAATACATTTTATTCAATTATATATTCACCTTTATTTGCACTGACATGTTGTTAATTATCAGGTCGCTCTTCCATATATTTTGAAAAACATTTCGCAGGTTTTGATGTGGAGAATCTTTTGATATGCTCTTGAATCTGGTTTTTCATAAAAAGTCCCCCCCCCCCACCTCCATCAAAGTGTTTTGCAGCAATCGAGAAAGGTAATAATCTGTGTAAGTACGAGTTTGGTAGAAGAGACCAACTGAGTTTCAAAATCTTTTCCAGGTTTATTCTTGCTGTCAGCTGTCTTGCGTTGCAGTAGGAGCGGGAACATTTTTCCAACTGGTGAGCTCAGGGCGCGTTTTGACTTAATATTTATGAATACCTTGCAGCTACAGGACATATGAAAGCGTGTTTAGTGTTTCGTTGCTTTTTTAGAAGTGTGAATGAATAATACACAAATGGACCATTATACTAGCAAAACAACCTTTATTCTATGGAGCTCAGCAGTGAGGAACGGTTATGGAGACTCATCCTTGTCTTGCCTTTTGTCTTGCACACTGTTGTATATTAGTGTACTACAAACTTATTCTTCAATACCAAGTATGATTAGTACTAGGATGATACATTCCTCATTGCAACTGGTTCCCTAAAATGGGAATTACTAATGACGCAACCTAAATATATATATATATATATATATATATATATATATATATATATATATTTATTTAAAATTTATTTAGCGTTGGAATCATATTTTTAAATAAATAATTATATTTATGCTCTACTTTTGTATCGAGCACTATTTTTTTAAAATAATAACAAAAATACTAAAGAACTTTGGATTATTTACCTAACGAGTTATTTCCTATTTTCTATATATTTTACACACACACACACACACACACACACACACACACACATATATATATATATATATATATATATATATATATATATTATGAGATGGACATATACTTTTCTTTCTACAGTTGCATATTTCACTGTTAACGATGTTATGCTGCACGTTACTGGCATTTTGTCTTTTTTATTATGGTTTCTTAATTTCTAGTACAGCTGTAGCTTAATTCGCGTATATATATATATATATATATATATATATATATATATATATATATATAATCCCTCGTTTCATTTACTATGGTTAAGCACAAGAATGACTTACCGCACTAATCGAGTATTATGTAGGCACTAATCGAAATTTAGTACATAAAAATTTTACCGCACTAATCGAAATTAGTCGAGTGATGCCTTTATATATATATATATATATATATATATATATATATATATATATATGAGGAAGAAATGTATGACAACGTGGAAAAAATCTCATGTCAAGCGTTTCGTCCTTTAGAAATTCATCGGTCTGTATCATACATTTTTCCCCAATATTGTTCTTCATATATAAAGATTTATATATCGTTATCTCAGGTATATATATATATATATATATATATATATATATATATATATATATATATATATATATATATGAAATCTGGAAAGTTTTTTGTGACGCATTTCATCAGTTAGGGTTTCATCGGACTGAGCTTTAATGATGTTACCACGTCTACACATGCGCACGAAACGAGAGACGCTGGTAGTTTCAAAATTTTTTTTAAATAATACTTTTTGAAAGAATTTTTTTTCAATCTAGCCGAATTCATCTGTATTTATTTTCTTTTTCTTTATCTCGCCACCATCTTTATTCCTGATTTCCCTACACTTTTTAACTTTGAAACAACATTGATATAGCTGCACTGAGAAGTAAGCATCAGTCGACTACATGAAACGAGAAAGCAAAATAAGACATCTAACAGTGTTTCTGATGCACTTGGATACAATACATTCTCCTGTACTGTTTTGTGGTCTTTTGTCCAATTCTCGAACCGGTCTTAAAAGTCATGCCCGTCATAGGCATGCAGATAATGAGTTCGTGGTCGTCGGAACCTCATACGTCAAACTCGACGAGAGAGACCATCATATCATATCATATCATATCATATATATATATATATATATATATATATATATATATATATATGTATATATATATATATATAGCTGCACATTTCAAACAACCGCATTATAGCATTGATAACGTTAGATGCTTACTTTTAACGTCTTCATCCATATGCCAACAAGAATGCCAAAAGTTCGGATGGAAATACATTTTTAAAATAGATTCACACATTCCAGGATTAAGTATATTCAAAGAATACAGTTTCCACAGAAAGCTTTCTAAAAATCTTTTACAAACCTAAACCTGGCAAACAAATAGCCCCAAACTATTAGATCGTTCCCCCGGAAAATCCCACTTCATTTTTCATTTTATTTATTTCTTGTCTCGTTGTGATTTGTCTTACTATTAATATTGTTATTTTGTTGTTTGTTTTTATTTTTTATTTTCTTCGAATTTCTTTTCCCGGCCTATCATATTTACATAATAGAACCATACGTGAATAATCTTCCTTTACTTTCTTTACTGTCATTTAAATATATTCAGGCAGCATATTTTCATTCAAACATCTATGGTTAAATAATTTAGACGGATTATGTTGGTGACTGTAGAAAATTGATCAAGAAAAATACCCAAATTTTCTTTCAAATAATTTTTATTTTCCCAAGTACTTTCTCATCCTGGGTAAGACGTTAAACTACATCCGTGTCCTAGGTAAGACGTTAAACTACGTCCAGCAGCAAGGCCTCAGATCAGGAGGTTGTGAGAAGCGTGGAACCATCTCTTAATTGCTGGTGTTCCCAGGTCCACCCTAACCCACCTGTTAGGGTTCCAGCTATGGGCAAATAGTTAACTATTACCAGCAATACTTTTTTGAAAAAAATTATTACCAGCAATAACATTTTGAAGGAAATATATTACCAGAAACAGATTTTTGACAAAACAAAATATTACCAGCAATAAAAAAATCTTGTCGGCATTAAATAACCCATTGGGGTTGATATTCCGTAAAACAAAATAAACCAAACCAATCTAAACCAAAGAATACATATTCTATTCATACGAATCTATACTAAAAATGTTGTCGGCATTAAATAACCCATTGAGGTTGATATACCGTAAAATAAAATAAACCAAACCAAACCAACTACTTTCAATCTCATCTGGGACCATCTTCGGGTTGGGGGGGGTTCAAATATTTGTGGATGTGTATACAGTAACTCAGTAAATTCAAAATATTTTTTCACTGTTCGTTTAAGGCATTTCAAATTCGAAATTTCTTGCATAACTAGATTATGCTTTCAGTATGCCTAAATTACTGTTACATCCTGAAATTTAAGCATACTCAAAGAATAGTTTCCACAGAAAGTCTTTGACAAACCTACTACAATACGAATTATTCTAAACAAATAGCCCAAAACCTATCAGATCTCTTATAACACACGCGGAAAAAAATAGAAATTCTCCGAAAAAGAAAGTCTCACTTCATTAATTTTATTTCTAGTCTAATTGAAAAAGGACACAGGCGTGTTCGAAAATTCCGATTTTTAAAATTTTTCCCGTCATGCTTCCATTTGGTCAAAAGGCCGACGAATATACAATTAATTTCATTAGACATATTATCGGTATTATTATTTTTATTGTTTTTTACCTCTTGAATTTCTTTCATCCGCCTATTATATCTACATATTATAAGAAGCATATGTGGACAATCTTTCTTTACTGTCACACACGCACACACACACACACACACACACACACACACACATATATACATACATATATATATATATATATATATATATATATATATATATATATATATTCATTTCTGTAGTTCACTCCCAACAGCCAGCAGAAATATTTATCCTCCCGATGATGGCCATTTCGGTCGAAACTAGTCGAGGAATCTAAATGGAATAATAATAATAAAAAACGAAAGAATATTAATCTACAACCCAGTGTGTCTAATGATTTTAATTTTTTATTTTCTTTTTGTTCAAAATATATATATATATATATATATATATATATATATATATATATATTTACCTCTTCAGGCGATGGTGAGTGACTGAAGAATCACAACATAGTGCATAAACACGAAAAGTTATATATATATATATATATATATATATATGAAGAAATATACTCTTAAGGTGTGCTGTATTTATGGGATAGAGTGCACATTGAAGTCAACACCTAGAGGCGACAGTGAATATTGAAGTCAATATATATATATATATATATATATATATATATATATATATATATATATATATATATATATAGTTTCATTCTCAAGCGATGTTTTATTCTAAACATAAAACTGTGCTCTAAATTTTCAGTTTAATTTTGAAATTAAACTTTAGGGTTTGAGATTCAGTTTCTAAACATTAATTTCTGTGTTGCGATGGAATCATATTTTTAAAAAGAATAATTATAATTGAAGTTCGACTTCTGTATTGAGCACTGTTTTTTATTGTTTTTTTGTTTTTTTAAATAAAAACAAACACTAAAGAACTTTGGATTATTACTCTAACTATTCTTTCCTATTTTCAACACACACACACACACACACACACACACACACACACACACACACATATATATATATATATATATATATATATATATATATATATATATATGAAGGATGATGAGGTCATAGAAAAATAATAAAAGAATGTGAATTTCGTATCATTATTCCTTTGAGGATAAATTACGTTAAGCCGACATCTGCACGTTTACTTGGAAAATTCGTTGCCCAACGTTCTACCTGAGAGTTATACCTGCAAGTGTGGGTGAGTCGTGACGTTGACCATTTGCGTTTTTTTCTGAAGGTTACGAGTGTGGGTAAATTCTCGATACGAGCCCCAGAAAAGGCGCGGCAATGATATATTCGGAAGGTCGGCAGTTTTTTTATAAATAGAATCCAGATATTTTTTATTTTTATTTTTTTATTACTGCTTTTGTTGTAGTTGTTGTTTCTGAAGGAGGGCATCCTGCGATCACCAACGCTTGGTGGAAAAGGCAAAACATTGCCAAGGTGAAAATGAAGGACGTCTTTGTAAAGTTCCCATTTTATTTTGGCTTCTTTGGCGTCGTCTGCAACAATCGCTCCATTCCTCTTTTTTCCTTTTTCTTTTTTTCCTTTTTTTTTTTTTCACATAAGCCTAACGACTGATTTCGATTTCTCTTTCTCTTTCTTTCTCTACCGATTTCTTTCTTTCCCTGTCATTCATTCTTTCTTTCTCTCACGTTTTTTTTTCTTTTCTTTCTTTCTCATTCTTTCTTTTTGTGTATTCTTGCTGCCTCTGAGGCTTTTTATCACTTTTCCTTTTTTTTTCTTTCTTTCTCTGTCGCTTTTTTCTTTTTCTTGTGTTCTTTTTTTTTCTTTCTCTCCCTTTCTCTCTCTCTGGCATTCTTTCTCTCTTGCTATTTGTTTGATTGTTTCTTCGTTTCTTCGTTTCTTTCTTTATCTCTTGTTTTTTTTTCTTTTGCTTTCTTTCTTTCTTTCTTCCTTGTTTTTTCTTTTTCTTTCTTTCTTTCTTTCCTTCTTTCTTTCTTTTTTTCTTACTTTCTTGTTTTTTCTTTTTCTTTCTTTCTTTCTTTCTTTCTTTCTTTCTTGTTTTTTCTTTTTCTTTCTTTCTTTCTTTCTTTCTTGTTCTTTCTTTGTTATCTCACATTTTTCCTTTTTCCCTTCTTTTCATCTCTTTCCTTCTTACTTTCCTTTCTTTCCATATTTTTCTTTCATTTCTTTTTTGTTGGGTTGTTTTTTTCTTTTCTTTCTTTCTTTCTTTCTTTCTTTCTCCCTTGTTTTTTCTTTCGCTTTCTTTCTTCATTGTTTTTCTTCATTGTTTTTCTTTCGCTTGCTTTCTTTCTTTCTTTCTTTCTTCCTTGTTTTTTTCTTTTTCTTTCTTTCTTTCTTTCTTTCTTTCTTGGTTTTCTTTCGCTTTCTTTCTTTCTCGTTCTTTCTTTTGTTATCTCACATTTTTCTTTTTCTTTCTTCTTTTCATCTCTTTCCTTCCTACTTTCCTTTCTTTCTATATTTTTCTTTCATTTCTTTTTTTGTTGGCTTCTTTCTTTCTTTCTTTCTTTCTTTCTTTCTCGAACGCTTTCTTTATTGTTTGCTTTCTAATTCTTTCTTTATCGTTTTCTTTCTCTTTTTCTTTCGTTCCTTTCCATTCTTTTTCTTCTTCCCCACTTTCATATATGTGTATATAGGTGGACAGCGGATAAAGGGTAAAACTTCAAACTAATAACCCATATATTCTTTTCTGCCCTGTACAAATCGTAGTTGAGCGGCAGTCTGGCAAAATTGCGTTTGTCTTAAAAGTGATCAAAATTAACTAAATAAATATAGAAAAATATTGAAAAATAGCAAATTTGTAAAGATTTCTAACATGTTCCTTCTGCAATCAGTGGGATTTAATCTATATTTTCAAATCATACATTGGAATATAATATTATCTATTTCTTCTTGGTACCGGGTCCCTTCAGGACGTGGGAAATCATGGATCTCCACGATTTCCTGTCGTTTGTAGCTTTTAGTAGCGTTTCTCGTTTTCTCTCCCAATCTCTATTCTGCTCGTTAGGGAGAGGTTATTCGCTGCTTTCCTCTGTCCTTCTTGTATTCGACATGTCCTGTAAGTGTCAAACTTTCCAAGCCCTCTTTCCTCATGATGTGATGATTTCAATTCTCTCTTACTCGAAGTATAAGTATCTTTTTTGTTCCATTTTCTTTAAAACTTTGTCGTTGCTCACATGTTTAGTCCATGGTATTCTCAGCATCCTTCTGTAGAGGCACATTTCTGTTGCCTTAAGTCTCTTCTTCATCTGGGAAGAGATTGTCTAGCACTCACTACCATACAGGAGGACTGGTATTACATAACAGTCGAGTCATCCTTTTTTTTTTGGTTTCTCTTTTCTTTTTATTATACTCTTTCTCTCTCTTTTTTCAATGTTACACTTTCCCTTTCTGTCTTTCTTTTTTATTTCTTTTTCTATCCCCCATCTCCCCCCTCTCTCTCTCTCTCTCTCTCTTTCTCTTTCTCTCTCATCTTTTAATTTCCTTCATCTCAAATGTCAACCTTTTTCACAGTTCCCCATATCTTCTGTCTATTCACGTTTGAATCTATCACAGTTTATATCTCTCTATCATACTCTGTTTCTATTTATCTCTCTCTCAACTCTCTCGCTCTTTCCATTTCTCTCACTCTTTCTCTCATGCTGTCTTTCCTATTTGCTTTATTTCTCTCACTATCTATCTATCTATCTATCTATCTATCTATCTATAACAGTTTATATCTCTTTATCATACTCTGTTTCTATCTATTTATATATCTATCTCTCAACTCTCTCTCTTTCCATTTCCTTCCTCTTTCTCTTATTCTCTTATTCTGTCGTTCCTAATGCTTCTATTTCTATCTATCTATCTATCTATATATATATATATATATATATATATATATATATATATAGATAGATAGATAGATAGATAGATAGATATCTTTACATTTCTCTCATTCTCTCTCTTATTCTGTGTTTCCTATTTCCACTATTTCTCTCTCTCTCTCTCTCTCTCTCTCTCTGTCTATCTATCTAGCTATCAAGTCTCTCTCTCTTTCCATTTCTCTCTCTCTTTCCATTTCTCTCTCTCTTTCCATTTCTCTCACTCTTTCTCTTATTCTCTCTTTCCTATTTCCTCTATTTCTCTCTTTCTCTCTATCTATCTATCTATCTATCTTATCTATCTATCAAGTCTCTCTCTCTTTCCATTTCTCTCACGCTTTCTCTTATTCTGTCTTCCCTATTTCCTCTCTCTCTCTCTCTCTCTCTCTCTCTATCTATCTATCTATCTATCAAGTCTCTCTCTCTCTTTCCATTTCTCTCTCTCTCTTTCTCTCTCTCTTATTCTGTCTTTCCTATTTCATCTATCTATCTATCTATCTATCTATCTATCTATCTATCTATCTATCTATCTTACCAACCCACTCAATTCCTTCTCGTCAGTCACCTTCCCGTCTGTTTCTGTAGCTTTCTCCGATTTTAAACTTTTTGGTCGTTGCGCGGGTCGTCACGTGTGGTCACATCTTTCTTCTTTTCACAAACACGCGCGCGCGCACACACACACGCACATAAACACACAATCAAACTGCTGATTTTCTTACTCATACGTATACCCCCGCCATATTCATTCGTTGTATCAAAGGAGTGCTCCCGCCTTCTCTCTGCCCAACAAGAGAGGCTGCTTACGAAAATGGGAGTGGATAAGTGATGGCGACCTTACAACTGCGAGAGAATTGGCATTAAAGTGGGTCTTGGAATGCGGCTTCTTGCATATTTAGAAAAACAAAAACGTTTTTACACGTCGCGAAGTCGAAAAGACGGGAAGACAAAGAAAATATTCAAAACAATTTACGGTAACAGATGAGTTTTACAAATAAAGATATATACAGCTTAATATGCACCAAGAATTATACACACATATTATTATGCGTTCACAGAAAGAGATTGGGGAGAGGAGAAAGAGAGAGGAAAAAAGGGGAGGAGAGAAAGAGAGCGAGAAAGGAAAGTTGGAGGGGAGAAAGAGAGGAGAGAAGGGGATGAGTGGAGTGAGAGAGAGAGGGGTAAGAAAAATAAAAAAGAGAGAGGGCAATAGAGTGGAAAGAGAGAGATAGGAAAGGAAAGAAAGAAGACAGAGAAAAGAGAGAGATGTAAAAAGGTAAACGGAGGAGAGAGAAAAAAAGAGAAAGAGAGAAAGGGACTTCAGGCTTAATAAGGTTTTTTTGTTGATGGTAATAGCCGTTGCCTTATAAGGAAACATTCTGTCTTCATTGACCGTGCAACCTGGGCTGCTGGCGGTTGAAATTTGATGGATGGCAGAACTGTATTTAAGAGAGATAACAAAAAGATTAAATTTACTAAGAGCTACAAAGGACAGGAAATGGTGAGCCATGATCGCCATCGTCCTGAAGGGACACGACACATAGGAACGGAAGAAATGAAAGATGGTCGGATGTGTGTCATGTTACGCGACATGCATCATATATTAGCATTTTCATCTTTTTTTTCTTTCAGATGCTCAGGGATCATTAAGATTGCATATTCCAATTTGACTTAGTGAGCATTAAATTGGCCATTCGACCAAAGGCTAAAAAGGATGGTTCTTCGCATAGCCCACGCAGGTACCTACAATTATGCACGCCAACTTCACGATGTCACCGATGGTCTTGGAGGTCGTGAGCAACGTGGGACAAGTCATGTCACGCCAATTTTCATCGCCGAGCTTTAGGCTTAAAACTACCGACGACATCGTGTTGCTAGACGCGGTGGTCATGCCCCAATTGAGGAGTTGATTATACCAGCCGTAAACTGGACTATGCACCCTCCAACATTGCCCACATGATTCGGGAGTATTTGACCGGGATGTTAACAACAAAATGTAGACTCCTTTCACTAACAGTAACCCTTTCCAAACATGTGTATCCTCAAAAAATAACGTTTAGAGTAGCGCACACACACACACACACACACACACACATATATATATATATATATATATATATATATGGTACAGGTAATCGATCCGTTGCTATATAATCCGGGTGTATCCTAGTAATACTAATTAACTGATCCACAGAAAGTTCAATATATTTATTATAACAGAATATATGAATATACATATATATATATATATATATATATATATATATATATATATATATATATATATATATATATATATATATATATATATATATATAGAAGTAAAAAAATTACTTGTGACGCGTTTCGTCCTTCAGGACTTCAGTGGGCAAAATTTGTTATGTTGGTACGACTAAACGCATACGAACGAGGGATATATATATATATATATATATATATATATATATATATATATATATATATATATATAGCCGAATTCATTTACAGTCTTTTTATTTTTCTCTCCATCACTTTTGTAAGTCGGTATCCCACACTGTGGTATTAGAAGATCTGTCAGGAATGGTGAAACGTTCTAAGAGCCAGTGCGCAGTTCGGTTAGATATATATATATAAACATGTGATGAAGTTTTATTTATTAATCCGACAAATTTTATTATGTAGACGTTATTTTTAGTGGATACCCATATTTGTGTCAACGCTCCGTTTATTCATTAAACAATATATTTATTTATTTTTGTCAACCTACCTGAATGCTCGAGAGGTCTTATTAAAGAAAAAGTATGTGCGCGTTCCAGAGGGGTCTATATAGCTAGGTATCTCAGTTTGTTCCTATCTCTCCCCCCTCTCCCTCTCTCTCTCTCTCTCTCTCTCTCTCTCTCTCTCTCTATCTATCTAACTCAGTCTGTTCCTATCTATCTATCTATCTATCTATCTCAGTCTGTTCCTATCTATCTATCTATCTGTCTCAGTCTGTTCCTATGTCTCTCTCTCATTCTCTCTCTCTATATCTGTCTATCTCACTCTGTTCCTATCTATATATCTGTCTATCTATCTATCTCAGTCTTTTTCTATCTATCTATCTATCTATCTATCTATCTATCTATCTATCTATCTATCGATCGATCGATCGATCTATCGATCTATTTCACTCTGTTCCTATCTATCTATCTATCTATCTATCTATCTATCTCAGTCTGTTCTTATCTATCTTCGTTTTTTTTCTTTTAATTTATCAACCTTTTTCTATTTTTTCTTTGTTTTCTTATTTCTTTCTTAAATTTTAGATATTACATGTTTTTTTCTATCTTTATTTCAATAATCTCTTTCTTATCTTTCCACAAATTGATCTCCACCATTTTTTTTCCTTTCCTTTCTTATCTATAATTTTCCTCTTTTTCTGTTGTATTTGTATTTATTTCTCCCTTTCTTCTTTCATTCTTTTCTTTCCATCCTTACCTACCCATTTCTTCTTCCTCGGTCATATCACGTTCAAACAACGGTTCTCGTAAGATCACCAAAGTTAAGCAACATCGAATTTGGTCAGGGTGACCGCTTGATAATGCCAAGTGCTCTAAGCTCGTATAGTGTAATGCATAGCGGCTCGGAATCGAAAATCGGATGAGTCGAGTTCCAATTCTGGTCGGGTTCCTTGGATTCAGACGTGCAAAAACCTTTGGGGGAGCTATGAATCCAGATATGGGTTAGTTAGTAGAATTTGTGTCAGTAAATCATTATTCACTTTAATAAATTTTTACAACCTAAAAATTGTTTTCTGGCTTCAACTAATCTGTAAAAGATTGATAAGCCCTAAAAAAAATAAAAATAAATCGGATCTCTTTTTATTTTCTTTCGTCTAGGTTTTCTGTTAACATAATTGTTTGTTTGTTTCTTCTTTTCAACTTTTGCAATCTTTTCCCTTTTGTCTATACGTTTGTTTCATTACTATCGATATTTGCTATCGCTTATTTATTCGCTCTTCGTCGTTTCGGGCCATTATACGAGTGAATTCAACAAAGTGCACATGCACGGAATTCCAGAACCCCTACTCGTTTACCCGGCCCTTTCTTTCTTTCTTTCTTTCTTTCTTTCTTTCTTTCTTTCTTTCTCTTTAATCGATATATATTTTTAATACAAGGTTTTTTCTGTTTTTTCTTATTTTTTTTCCTTAAATTTATTTTTTCTTTATTAAGTGCACATGCTTATATGCCATTTTCTTTCTTTCTTTCTTTCTTTCTTTCTTTCTTTCTTTCTTGTAAATAGTTATTTATTTATTTGTTTATTTATTTTATACAAACCTCTCACTGTTTTCTTCCTAAACGTCTTACTTTCTTTTTTCCCTAAATTCTTTCTTTCTTAAATTCTTTCATTCTTTCTTAAATTCTTTCTTAAATTCTTTCTATCTTAAATTCTTTATTTCTTTTTTAAATTATTTCTTTCTTTCTTAAATTCTTTCTTTCTTTTTTCTTAAATTCTTTCTTTCTTTCTTAAATTCTTTCTTAAATTCTTTCTATCTTAAATTCTTTCTTTCTTTTTTAAATTCTTTCTTTCTTTTTTAAATTCTTTCATAAATTCTTTCTTTCTGAATTTTTTCTTTCTTTCTTTCTTTTAAATAGTTATTTATTTATTTGTTTATTTTATACAAACCTCTCACTGTTTTTTTCTTAAATGTCTCTTTCTTTTTTCATTAAATATTTTATTTCGTTCTTTCTTTCTTTCTTTCTTTCTTATCATCTATATAAGTTTCCGCAGCCCCCTCGCCCTCTCTAGGGAGGCCTGGTGGCATGACAAGATGCCACAACTGAAAAAGATGCTATGCACGGGTGTAGATACGGGTTGGTGAAAGGCGAAGAATTAGGGCCGGGTGGAGTTGGGAGCCGATATACACACGTGGCATGAGAATGCCATTCGGGCGTCTGAACCTGGGCAAACGCTTCATTTGTAAGTGCAGCCGGGAAGAATCGGGTTGAATATAATCCGGGACGCAGAAATACGTACACAAAAATTGATGTGGCTTCGTCAATGTGTGTGTGTGTGTGTAAAGATGCTTGCGTAAATGCGAAAACAATAGTAAGTGCGTAAACAATAGTGTCACGAAGAAGGAGGAAGAACCAGAAAAGGACCAAGATGTATAAAGAATAAGTGGAACAGGGAACAGTGAAGAAGAAGAAGAAAAAGAAGAAGAAGAAAAGAAGAAGAAGAAGAAGAAGAAGAAGAAGAAGAAGAAGAAGAAAGAAAAAGAAGAAGAAGAAGAAGAAGAAGAAGAAGAAGAAGAAGAAGATGGAAGAGGGTGGAAACACTGTAAAAAGAGGAGGAGATTGTCGTAAGAAAGAAATTGTATAGAAAAGGAAAAGGCGGGGGAATAAATGATAGAAGTTTGAAAATGTAAGCAGGAAAAAAGAAAGAAACTGGACCAGAGGTTCATTTGAGAAAGAAAGAAAGAAAGAAAGAAAGAAAGAAAGAAAGAAAGAAAGAAAAAGAAAGAAAGAAAGAAAATAGCAAAGAGGCAAAAGAGGTTAAGTGCATTTGAGAAAGAAAGAAAGTGGATCAAAGGTTAAGTTCATTTAATAAAGAAAAAAGAAAGAGAACGTCATAGATGCTAAGTGCATTTAAGAAAGAAAGAAAGAAAGAAAAAGAAAGAAAGAAACTAGAGCAGCGGCTAACTTAATTTAAGAAAGAAAGAAAAACGGAAAGAAAGAAAAACGGAAAGAAAGAAAGAAAGGAAGAAAGAAAATGGCGTAGAAGCATTTGAAAAGGAAAGAAAGAAAAAATTGCGTCGAGGCATTTGAGAAATAAAGAAAGATAGATAGAAACAAAACAGCGTAGATACTAAGTGCATTTAAGAAATAAAGAAAGAAACTAAAGCAGCGGATAACTCAATTTAAGAAAGAAAGAAAGAAAGAAAGGAAGAAAGAAAGAAAGAAAGAAAGAAAGAAAGAAAGACAAGAAAAAGAATTGGAAAGTGGGATTAGGGCAAAGAGAGTAGTTGCTAAGACAAAGAAACTTGTTTCACTTGTCTGCATGTGAGAGATAGAGAGAGAAGTCAGTGTAGAGAGAGCGAGAAAAAAGGCGGCGGAGACAGAGAAACATATCCTGTGTCTGCTGCCCGAGAGATAAGAACAAGAGAAATGCCGGAACAACAATGTTTAGTGAGGGTGCTGTTAAGTGGTGGAGGTAGAGAAGGAAGTAAAAAGAAAATGGCAAAGAAGAAGAAGAAGAAAAAGAAAGTCTGTCAAGCAAAAAAGAACAAAATGGAAACGATTACGTTACAGCACGATCGTTCATGAAGTGACACGATTATTTGGACACACAGCAGACCCCGCGTTTTTTTTCCCTTTCTACTCAGCAGAATATATAGAAGACACTTTTTAGCTAGACCCCTGACTTTTTTTCCACACCAAGGTTTTACGAATTAGAACATTATATATTGTATAGTTTGCGCCTGCCATAAATAATACATATTTTGTTACGTCCTTGCTATTGTTATATTAAACAAACACCTCTTTAAAAACTCACCTACATTTTTTTTTTTAGATTTAAACCTTTTTCTCAAAAATAGCGTCATCTGAATAAATCTTCTAGGTCCTATAGAAGATAGTTCTTCATCAGATCTTATAGACTGATTCTATAGAATCATTAAAAAAAAAAAACACATCGCTAGAAGACATCCAACAGCAGCAACAACTTAAATGGATCGCACATGTAACTAGAACGGAAAAAAATAATATAATCATGATGTTGACTTTCTATACTACCTTAAACAAAAGTGTCGTATCTTATGCAAATTAGATAGACAAGTATAAATAGAGAACAACTGATGAACATAGGGTGGTTATGCCTAGCAAACCCGATTGCTATTCAGGACACGGAGAACTGTACTACGACTACTACTACGCAGAGAGGGTGCAAAACATAGCAAAAAATTTAGGAAGGAAAGTCCTACCAACACGAGAAAGAGCGATAAAAACGGCCTTGGGAAGCCTATTTTCCTGAAAAATTGCTTTAAGAGAATATACTTTAACCGGAAGTAACACAAACCGTACGTCGAATGACTGATTGATTTCGGGTTTTTTTGGGGTTTTTTTTCGGCTTTTTACACCTTTGTGGATTATTTAAAACTAAAACAAAATTTGCATTTAGAAGAATAAATCTTTGCTGCGAGTGAACATTGCATTAAGAATTTTTCTTTTTTTTTTTTTAGTATAACAATGATTTTTCCAGATACAAGTCCTACTATTTAACCCATAGCTTCGGGTAACGAGATGAATTTATACATCTCCAAGAGATATTTGCGCATAAATTAATATTTCGGCCAATGAATGCCTGTTTCCTGCTCGGAAACAATCTTACCATTACCCCTTCTGTAGTTCCTGTTTTGAAGAATTCTGGAGAACCGTTTGATCTTCTAACTATCGGACTGTTAGTCTTCGAACTCTTTTTGGTCAAACTTTAGACTTCGTAGGGTCTTCTATCAGACAAACAATATGACCTTCGTTTCTCGAGGTCAACTGTTGGGGTGTCAAAGGTTATTATTGAAAGAGTTTTTCAAGCGTTAGATAAGAACGGCGAAGCTCGGGCTGTTACTTTGCATATCTCAAAGGCGGTTAACAGGGTTGGCATGCTCGTCGTCTTCACAAGCTGAAGGATTATGGTACTTCTGGTAGGATTTTTGATTTGATTCAATCTTTCTTATCAAATCACAAAATGAAAGTTATTTTAAGCGGCCAACCTTCTCAATCTTTTTTCATTAATGCAGGTGCCATCCAGGGTTTTATCCTTGGACCTACTTTGTTTTTAATTTTTATCAATGACCTTCCCTGATGTCATCAGTTCTTGACTTAGTATCTGTGCTGATGACACATTTTTTTTTTTTACTCCTGTCTAATGGTAAGTCTGATGGATTCTATATCTTGAAATTGGCAGCTGATCTCAAAAATAAATTTCACAGTACTTCATTTTACCTGATCTGGACTTTGTACAGTTAATGCATATCAGGAGTATTTAGGTAATTGCAGGAATGATACTGGCAACTGATCATTTTTCCAGTTTATTTAGCAATGGATTCTATATACGGGATGTAACAGCAAAATTGTCCAATTGTTAGATTAAGCTTTGAAGCGTTATAACTTAGAAATGATTAAAGATATCTTACTGGAATTCTCCGAGGGTTCTATCACACTATTAGACTCTACTTTGAACAATAACAATGTATTTAGCTCTAAGTTGAAATGATGATCACTGTTGCTGTTGTGACCTCCTGATCCAGTTTTCCTCTCTACTGTTTCATTTTTTAACTTATTCACCGTTCTCTTGATGGTTCTTGAATGGACTTTGAAGATGGAAGCCATGAATGTTGGTACCATTATTGAAGGCCTGGTTGATTTTTTCCTCTCGCCATTGCTCAGTTGGAAAGATATAGCAGGGCTGACAAAAAACGATTTTAACCTGTTCTGTTTCTACCTGAATAACTCAAAGAGTTTTTCAGTGTCTCTTACGACAAATGTCAAGATGGCTAAACGTCTTATCTGAAAACCTGGGAAAAAGAAACTCAGTTTAGTGGGTTTTTTTTTTTTTTTAGTTTTTAAACATTTTGTGGGTGAACAATTATCTCATGCTGTTACACAATTTGAACAATTTTGCTGTTACCCCCGGTGTATGTTCCTCTTGAGGGTTAGGGTGAGCGTGTTCCAAAGTGCCTTCTTGAGAAGGAACCCGTCCATTGCCACAAACCTAAATTCAGGGGTTGATCGGTGATGATTTTCACCACGGTATTAAAATAGTTTGGTTCGGTTTGTTTTTTTAATGGCATATCAACTCCTTATGGATCATTTAATGCCTAAATCTTATTCTCTTGTGAGCTTTGGTAAAAAAAAAAATTTTCCAAAAATGTATTGCTAGTATTTTTTTTTACTATGAAAATGCATTGCTGGCAATTTTTTCTGATGTATTTTTTATATTTTCATGTTTTGACCCCAGTTTGGGGGTTCACTATTTACCCATAGCTGGGACCCTAAGAAGTACTACAAAGATGAATCTGAGAACAACAGCAATTGAGACGTGGTTCCACGTTCCTCAAAACCTACCGATCAGAGGCCTTGCTACCAGATGAAGTTTATTGTTATATCCAGGACGACATTTTAAAGGCATTTGACGGCAATTTCAAAGCAAACACGTTAGATTAGATTACACATATTTAAAAGAACGCCCGCCCGGTCCGAATGCAAGTAATGCTTTTTTTAAAACGTTGGTTCCCATACGTACGCAGAACCAGAATCCCAAAATAGTCCAGTTTGGCTTGTTTCAGATGCTAAAGAAGAGACGTCTGTGCATATTATTAACTATATTAGAATGTATGAATTTTAACAAGTACATAGTCAATCACGTGAACATATTATTGTAAAATGTATTGCAAGTAACCAACTGTGCTGGAAAATGTAAATTGCATCTCGGAAAAAAATCATTTAGAGGTTATACATTTTTTTTTTTAAATTTTTTGTAAAAGATTCGTTTTCTGAGTTTGTGTAAAAATTCTGTTCGTCTGCGGACTTCTGGAACTCGTCTTGTTGCAAAAAATATAATCATTTGGAAAAACGGGAATTAGAAATAAAATCTTTACCATACATGTTCAGGATAGGAGACAAAGTAAAAAAAAAAAAAAAAAAAAAGAAGCAAACAAACAAAGCTCTACACTGACATATCTACACGCATTTCAAAACACTACGTACACATGCATACATACAAAATCAACACCCGATCATCCGCGAGACGCACAACTCACGTACCACGCATGCGCAGATACGTTGAATACCTGACATTTAAACACCGTAAGCACTGGCTCATCACACTCCCCTTCCGGTATATTCCATACGCACACACAACACACATACACGCACATACACACGGGAAAAAAGTACAAAGACTCTCACATACACATGCCAAGTACAAAGAAACGTGACTAACAGAAATTCACACTTATGAACGCACATTACAGTTTATTTGATCAGCCTTAAATAGTAACTTACACGCGCTTTCTGGCGATAATTTTGTTTCAAAGACATTTTAAGAGAAGGACGTATTGTCTGAATTGCAGAGATAGCAGCTCGTGAGATGGGTCCGAACAAGTCTTTATATATTCTTTAAAATATGGATATGCGTATACCAGCTTATAGAAGGCTACGTGCTATTCCTCGACGATTTACATGTAGGCTTTTGATATCAATCAAAGCCCAATAGGCATTTGGATATCAAAACCCAGTATGAGAATAATATCAGTTTAGTAAATATCAGGATGAAGATAACAAAATTTATGTCGTTTTCTAATCAATTCTTTAGTCTACAATTAACTATCAATGCTATATCGGTTACAATAAAGAACACACCAGCTGCATCCCTGTGCAGAGGAATAAACACCCTCCCCACAAAAAAAGGCCATCTACGTTTAATTTTTTGACACTTGTGCAAACCAAATCTTCGTCTACCTTTTTAAAAATCGTGCAAAGCTAACCTGTGTAATCCATTTTTTGTCGCTCATACAAGCAAAACCTATGTCTACCGTTTTATCTCTCATTTAAACCAAACGTATTTCTACCTTTTTAGCTCTCAAACTCAACCTAGCTGTATCTTTTTGCCACTCGCGCAAATCAAACCTATGTTTACCATTTAAATTGCCGTATAAACCAAACGAATGTCTACCTTTTTCATTCTCATGTGAGACAATTTTACTAACAGCCCCATGTAACATCAATTTATATGTTGCCCAGAAGGTCACCCTACTAAGAATATGCCATATACTAAGGAAAGTCCTATCAATTAAATTACAATTCTCCTATAGGTTCTAAGGACCATAGTTTGGAATCGACTCTACAGGTTACAAAGCAGGAAACATAACATATACAAATGATAATAATAAAAAAACTGTAAAAAAAAACTGTCAAATTATAAGGACCTGCAAATCGAAGTAACAAAAATATGAAAGATTAAAACTATGATTATCAACAATCAACAAGCCATAATTGCGTTGTAAACGATGCTTTTGACATGGAGTTATTTCTCGTATATTTTGCAATTACATATTTCAAAATTTTATTAATTTATTTGTTTGCATTCTCACGATCTTCCGTTTTTCATCAGCCGTCCATTAAAGATGGACGCCCGGAAGTTGTACATTCCACAAGCGATGCACAATGGTAATTATGGCGTAATTTCCTGTCGAGGTTGTTAATTATCAATACAATAAAGTTTGCAGCAACCGACCGTAACTGACGACACCGGAAAACGCCGTCATTTTTTTTTATATGAGAGAATATATGTGTGCATATGCTTGCGTGTACTCGAGTAACTCTGTATACAACGGGACATGCAAATAAGTGATTTAGTAATTATATATTAAAATTTTTATAAAGTGCAGGCAACGAATGATTAAAAATATATTCACAAATGTTCGGGAGCTGGTTAAATAACTTTGTGCTTAATTTGAATTCATGTAAGTACAACGAACTAGTAGGTTCATCATAATACCAACAGCAAACACTGTACAAGTTTCCAGAGTTACTGATGAAGATGCGAACAAACAACGAAATATTTTATAAAGCAACATTACTTCGTTGTTTTTTTTAATCAATTATTAATTACAAATATACTTTTTCTTTGTAAATTATTCGCTTATGTGCCATACGTGATACACCCTTAGGCGATCATGTATCTTTCGATATATGACTGCAGATTTTTTCCCGAAGTAGGTTGCCATAGCATCCAAGGCTATAGAACCCGGTCTGTTATGCTTCTTACCCATAGCTGGGGGAGATGAAGAGGATTCATACCCTTCGCAATGGTATTAGCATGTAAGTGAATTCGACTGGAACTCGAACTCGGCTCTCCGATTCCTCAATCCGAGCCGTATACTTTATTATTACCTGAAGCTTTTTTTTTAAATAGAATTCACCCAATAAACGGCTTGAGAGTACCTCAAGGTAGAGGGCTACTGTTAAAATAGTTTATGAATGGGGCATGTATGAATGAAAGTGTATTTGGTAAGGAAGTAAATAATATGGGTATAAGGGTGATAGATATCGACTGACCCTTGACTTGAAGAGGTTAAAATGTTACTTTTCAGGGAAGAATCTATTCGGCAGTCTGATTCCAAAAAAGTAACAGTTACTGCGGAATAAAAGCTGTTTAAATTGAACTTCTTACATTTGAAATATTGGGGAAATGAGGGTGATTCAAATCTTTGGAAATAACATGATGTGTTGCTAAGGATGAACCAAAGAACAGGAATCATGTAAACATTTGCGAAGTGACAGACTTGCAGCACTGCGTCTGTGGCAAACAATTTTGTATTCTATCAAGGCTGGAATGTGAGGGTTGAGCAACTCCAGCCCAGGTAGGGCAGCATTACTCCATTTTTGGACAAATATATTCGCTCCAATATCCATTTACAAATTGTTCTATCCAAGGTGCATTCCAGATGTTTTGAACCTTTTTCAGGAGAGACATTTATTAATTTCAAAGAAGTAAGCCAGTTATATGCCATGCGTGATACACGCTTAGGCAATCATGTATCTTTCGATACCTGACTGACGAGGCAGATTTTTTTTCCGGCTGTAGGTTGCCATTTCTTTCTGCGGTAGACCAGTTGCCATCTAAGGCTATAGAACCCGCCCAGTCCTGCTATTTACCTATAGCTGGGGGGCGGGGAGAAGAAGAGGATTCATACCATTCCCAGAGGTATTAGCATGTAAGTGAATGTAAGTGAATTTCAATCAGTTATGTGCCATGCGTGATACACACTTAGTCGATCATGTATCTTTCGATACATGACTGACAAGGAAGATTTTTTTTTCCAGCAGTAGGTTGCCATTTCTTTCTGCGGTAGAACAGTTGCCATCCAAGGCTATAGAACTCGGCCTGTCCTGCTATTTATCAATAGCTGGGGTGGGGGGAGAAGAAGAGGATTCATACCATACCCAATGGTATTAGCACGTACGTGAATTTCAGTCAGTTATGTGCCATGCGTGATACACACTTAGTCGATCATGTATCTTTCGATACATGACTGACAAGGAAGATTTTTTTCCAGCAGTAGGTTGCCATTTCTTTCTGCGGTAGACCAGTTGCCATCCAAGGCTATAGAACTCGGCCTGTCCTGCTATTTATCAATAGCTGGGGTGGGGGGAGAAGAAGAGGATTCATACCATACCCAATGGTATTAGCACGTACGTGAATTTCAGTCAGTTATGTGCCATGCGTGATACACACTTAGTCGATCATGTATCTTTCGATACATGACTGACAAGGAAGATTTTTTCCAGCAGTAGGTTGCCATTTCTTTCTGTGATAGACCAGTTGCCAGCCAAGGCTATAGAACCCAGTCTGTTCTGCTATTTACCCATAGCTGAAGAAGAGGATTCATACCTTTCCCAAGGTTATTAGCACGTAAGTGAATGTAATGAATTCGACAGGAATTCGAACTCAATTCAAATAAGTAAAAAAAACTTTAACCTTTTAACAAAAATAGTGCTCAATGTAAATTTACAGTGCATTAATATTCGCTTGAGGATGAAATGGAACTAATGTCTTTAATTTAATTACAAAATTAAATTCGTAGCTTTTAGCTTCCATTTTTGAAACATGGTTAGATCTGTGTAGCGAAAAAAGACATATTTTAAATAAATCAATTTATAATATATATATATATATATATATATATATATATATATATATATTATTATTATTATTATTATGATTTTTAATGAAAATATATGAAGATTAGAACGGCTCATGATCAAAGATAATAGGCATTCATTGTATGTTATATTTAACAATATATGTTTGAATAATCATCTACTGCCCCAATACACTATATCTATGTATATATATGTGTAGGTGTGCGTGTGTGTGTTTGCGTTTGTGCGTGTGTGTGTGTGTGTGTGTGTGTGTGTGTGTGTGTGTGTGTGCGCGTTTGTGTGCATGCGTGTAGGGTTAATACAAATATAAAATTTTGAAAGCAAAGTAGGATCTTCTGACTGCTTGTGGCGCTTCAACCACTTCGTGAGGGCCCCATGGAAGTCAGCCGAAGTGTATGTATCCAGGACCTTTGTCCAACCTGCCTTCTTCTCAATGCCTTCTAAAGGTTCTCCTTCAGCTTGTGAAACAACCAAAAGTCAGAGGGAACGAGGCCTGAACTGTAGAGAAGGTGAGGGGCAGTTTTAATACACATCTCTGTCAACACAAAACTTCATTGCATAACTAGCTTCCACATTGTCTTCCTGTCCCAAATACATTCTGCAAAGTAGTCAGCTTTGACAAGCAGCGATTAGCAGGTTATGTTCAACTGTTACAGCCGTCTCCTTTAATTCGGAATAAAAATGATGACAGGTCAGCTTATTAGATGTACAATAATGATATACTAAAATTACAATAATCCAAGACTGTTATAACTGCCTCTGCTAAAGAACACCTCAAAACTTATGGAATGTAGTTCTCGTATGTGTTCGAGGTTGTAAACATTTATTCACATATGTGCATCCGCCTTCCTTATTCTGTCACGCTCTCTCATTTCATATCTGCATATATATATATATATATATATATATATATATATGTTACAATGAATCATTCATACAAAAAGTAGGTTAGTAAAGTTAATGATATAAAATGGCGAAATCCTTTCGCAAACAAAATTTTAAAGGTGGATTAACTTACAAATACGAATATCCACTAAAAATAACGAAGTAATATATATAATCGATTCTCCCGTCGAGTTCCCAGCCAGCACATGAGATTTGATTAGAGTGGTGAAGGTTTCGTGTAAGACCAGCCACACTTTCTGAAGAATCGAATTCAGAGACCTGGTACACTAAGTGCCACAAGGTCCCCAAACGACCCTCCGCAGGTTTTGAATTCAGAATTCCCAATCTCCTAGAGTAGCCATCCAAGGCTATAGAACCCAGTCTGTCCTGCTATTTACCCATAGCTGGAGGGAGAAGAGGATTCACGCCTTTCCCAAGGGTATTAGCACGTAAGTGAATGTAATGGATTCGACTGGAATTCGAACTCGGCTCTGCGATTCCTCAATCCAAGCCGCTATCCATTACTCCACCGTGCCTCCTATATATATAATGCGACAGTATTTAAATTATTTTAATTTGGGATTAATTCATGTGTTATGTATTCGAAATGTTATCAGGTTATGAATTTAACCATTTTCTTTTAAATTTTTTTAATATTTTTATAGTCATGTATGCTGGTTTGGGAACATAGAGAGAAAGAAAGAGAGAGAAAGAGAGAGGAAAAAAGAGAGAGAGAAAGAGAGAGGGAAAAAGAGAGAGAGGGAAAAAGAGAGAGAGAATGAGAAAGCGAAAGAAAGAGAGAGAGAGAGAAAGAGAGAATGAGAAAGCGAAAGAAAGAGAGAGAGAAAGAGAGAATGAGAAAGAGAGAGAAAGAGAGAGGGAAAAAGAGAGAGAAAGAAAGAGAAAGAGAGAGGGGAAAAGAGAGAAAAAGTGAAAGAAAGAGAGAAGGAAAAGAGAGAGAAAGAGAAAGCGATTATGATGTGCGGATTGTGTTACAGTTATCGACACGGAAATCGAAGTTGTAGAGCCGTGTTCAATTCCGGGCTCGTCTCTTTCGTTCACATCACGCTAATGTCCTCGGAAAGGGCATGGAACCATCTTCCTTCTCTAAAACACTTCATATAACAGGGTGGACTGGTCTCTGGGTAGCAGCCAGTCTAGAAACAGAAAAACCTGGGAAAATAGAAACTACAAGAAAACTGATACTAACAATCAGAAAGTGACAACTGAATTCTTAGGACAAACAACGAGGAAAGAGGGCCTGGAAAATCTAACACTCACAAGACATAATGAAGGCAAGGGAAAACAGTGAATAATCTGCTTAACGAGTTAGGTAATAGATCAAAAGTTACTTAAAACAATATAAGACAGGAAGTTGTAGAGAGCCATGATCACCTATGTCCTGATATGGCATGGCACAAAAGATTTGTCAACGTGTCTCCTTATAGGCATATACATAGAATTAAGAAAAACGAACAGACGACCGCTCGTATTTTGTTTTGGTCAATTCATCAAGTGCCCAAAGTGAAAAAAAAGAAAAAAAATGTTAATCGGGAAACGAGATAGAGAAGGGGAGGAAAGGAAATAGAGAGGGAGAGAAAAGAGAGAAAGAGAGAGAAAGAAAGAGTAATACAGGGAATGTTCTAGGGATACTAAAATTGTCTGTGCGTCCGTCCATCCATCCGTCCCTACGTCTCTCCGTCCGTACGTCTTGCATTCCACACTCGGAAGTCCTCAGCCATCGACTTAAAGCTCATGGAACGCAAGACACGTGACAGTCGCGGCAGTGCAAGTTTTTTTTTCCGTTGTTTGTTTATCTTGGGGACTTCTCCACACTCCTCACCTATACACGCGCTTCAAGAAAAAAAAAGAAAGAAATAAGAAAGAAAAAACGTTAAAGATGAAAAGAAAGACGACTTTTTTGTGCGTCATACAAAAAAGTTACTAAAAACAACTTGCAAGAGAAAGCAGAGAAGCATTTTACACTAATTATTATTATTATTATTATTATTATTCCGTGTTAAGTGAGAAAATATGTTAAACAACACGCGGCAGCGTTGGTTGTGGTAAACGGCGGTGGTGCCGGCTGTGGTCAAAGTTTATGCGCTAGCAATGCTGCGTTGGTAATGGTAGACACGTTCGTGATGAAAATGTGGATAGAAAAAAAAAAGGTAGATTATAGCAACATGGCGGTTTGGGGAGAAACAAAATGACCAAATAATAAACAGCTTCAGATTTGTGATAATGGCAGCGTGTTCTACTAACTTCAAAGAAGATTAAATATTTTAATCTCCTCAGTCGACAGTCAATACATCTTCTTATCCATTGTTTAATTTTAACCGTGCTAATCTATCACACACACACACACACACACACACACACACACACACACACACATATATATATATATATATATATATATATATATATATATATATGGGATTAATACAAATATTTTACAAAATCAACGAATCAGTCCATGTCAAGGAATATCTTTTTTTTTCTTTTTTTAGTATTGAGCAGTTATTGTTCAGTCATTTTGAACTAAGTCTGAGTATGTACTACCCAGTGCAGGGATTGAACTCCCAATTACTGTGTCACCAAATTCATAAACCAATGATTTAATCTCCTTAGTCTGACCGTAAACAATGTAAATAATGATAACTATTCATCCCAGAATTTCAAGCAGAAATGATTATATATATATATATATATATATATATATATATATATATATATATATATATATATATATATATATATATATATATATATATATATATATATATAAAGAAAGAACAGTAAGATATATAATCTGGTGTTCTTATAGATATTTTATTTTTACAAAATAGTGCTCAATGTAAATTTACAGTGCATTAATATTCGCTTGAGGATGAAATGGAACTAATGTCTTTAATTTAATTACAAAATTAAATTCGTAGCTTTTAGCTTCCATTTTTGAAACATGGTTAGAACTGTGTAAAAAAAACCATATTTTAAATAAATCAATTTATAATATATATATATATATATATATATATATATATATATATATATATATTATTATTATTATTATGATTATTAATGAAAATATATGAAGATTAGAACGGCTCATGATCAAAGATAATAGGCATTCATTTTATGTTATATTTAACAATATATGTTTGAATAATCATCTACTGCCCCAATACACTATATCTATGTATATATATGTGTGTGTGTGTGTGTGTGTGTGTGTGTTTGCGTTTGTGTGTGTGTGTGTGTGTGTGTGTGTGTGTTTTCGATGGTAGTGCCTACATTTTGGGGAATTGGAGACTTTGTATGCACGTTTTCATTCTCAACACCAGAAAATGAGAATAGAAAGTTCACAAGTTCAAAAATGTAGGCATCACCACAGACAAACAAAAACACAAAATTCATCATCCTACCCCACAAAACTCTACAACAATTTGAACACACACACACACACACACACACACACACACACATACATACATATATATATATATATATATATATATATATATATATATTTCGATTAGAGGTGCAGTTCAATTTATAATCACATGAATCATTCATACAAAAAACAGATATAGAAGTTAATGATTTCATGGCGAGAATACATCTTCGCAAACAATTTCAATAAGGTACACTAACCCCGAACCTGTATATGAATGATATAATCCCTGTTTATAAATTCCAGTTTCATAAGGTTTTTTTTTAGTTTTTACAAGCTTTCGTCTGTTCCTACAGACATCCTCAGGTATGGAAATAGATTTGTTCTTGTTTTTTACTTCTCGATAATAAGAGCACAACGAAAATAGAGATGTAATCCGAAAAAAAAATGCTATGAGAAATGTGTTATTGTTTTGGAACGTGCGGTCGCAATGCTGAGTTTGAATTTTAAATTTTAAGGTTGTGCGTTTTTGTACAAATATAGTAATAAGAGAATTCTTTTGTGCTGGTAGTTTTTCCGTCAATGCGGCATGATCCATATTGTTCAATAATTACAGGAATGTCACACTTATTATTCGAAAGTTGCACGTTGGATCAGTCATTTTAATTTCGATTATAGGTGCAGTTTAATTTATAATTACATAAATCATTCATACAAAAAACAAATACCGAGAAGTTAATTAATTGTAATTATTGAACAATATAGTTCATGCCACATTGACGGAAAACCTACCAGTACAAAAGAATTCTCTTATTACTATATTTGTACAAAACAATATAAAATATATATATATATATATATATATATATATATATATATATATGGTCGGTGGCGTCTTTATCTCGTATCCAAGAATTGAATTACTTCTTTTATGATGATGGTTAAATTCGCCACCAACGTGCAGGTTCGGTAGTTGAAGCTCCTGCCATCCATTCCCTATTGTCGTTTGGTTTTGCAAGTCTGAGATTATTATTCTTGGTCGACAGTGCGGTGTTCGAGACCTTCCAGTGTTGACAAGACTGGCAGCTTGTTGCTAATGTGTCGACTTCACTGCATACGGTGTAAATCTACTTTTATTGTTTCTCGTCGGTGCCACATTATATCGAAAGGACGAATGAAAATGAATTATTTGCAAACAAAACAACAAAAAAGAATTATTTAAAAAAGGATATGTTTGTTTATTGTCATTTTTTTTTTTAAATATAAGCAGGTGATATCCGTCCATAGATTTCAATGGCGTAGGGCTAGCGTTTTTTGTTTCAAGATGATTGACGTATCATCAAAGACATCTGAGAAAACACGACTATGACAGCGGAGGAGAACGAAGAGTCCTTTTAATGAATGCGCTTTGATATGTTGTAGAAAAAAAGAAAGAAAGAAAGAAAGAAAGAAAGAAAGAAAGAAAGAAAGAAATGGATCTCTTAAAAAGTGGGTGATACTAGCAGAAAGAAAGAAAGAAAGAAAGAAAGAAAGAAAGAAAGAAAGAAAGAAAGAAAGAAAGAAAGAAATGGATCTCTTAAAAAGTGGAGGATACTAAAAGAAAGAAAGAAAGAAAGAGATCTCTTAAAAAGTGGGGGATGGTAAAAGAAAGAAAGAAAGAAAAAGAAAGAAAGAAAGAAAGAAAGAAAGAAAGAAAGAAAGGAAGAAAAAGAAAGAAAGAAATAGATCTCTTAAAAAGTGGGGGCTACTAATAGAAAGAAAGACCGTGAGAGAGGGGGGATTAAGCTTACATTACATATAACATAAGGAAAGCATCAACAAAATTTTGATATAAAAAACTTACAAAAAAACAACATTCGATTTTCAGATGATGCATGGTGATATATTAATTTTTTATTAGTACTGTTTTTCAGCTTGTTTTCTGTTGCTTTTGCATCAAATATTTATAATAGGAACACAAAACAAAACAACTACCTGAAAAATTGCACAATATTACAGGATCTATAGATCCTTTGAACAGAGGCGATTACGTAAAAAAGCAATTATATATATTCAGGGTGCGATGGATAATTTGTCGTCGAAATTACGCAAAATTGAAATTAACACTGATATCATATTTTAACAGGTATATTTACCAAAATTACACAAAAATATCTTAAAATAACAAAGAGTAAATTTATTCAATAAAATCGCCATTGGCTTTAACCACGGCTTCCAGACGACTTCGGAATCTCCTGCAACTCTTCTGGGCGGTCTTCTTGTTTAAGTGATGCCGCTAGGACACAGAAGATTAGACGGAGTGAAACTAGAAAGAGAAGATTTTAGTGAGGGGGAGTGAGAAGAAGACATTTGAATTTTGTAAAGATTTTACGTGGCATGGAAGCGAGAAATCGAAAGGGGAGAAGTGCGTGAAAAGAAACTGTTAGAGTAGAACTGGCGGTTGCATCTTGATAGTGCAGCAGTAAAACGGTGAGACCTAATTGCCAATCTAGTAGCACGCTTAAATTCATGCAGTCGAGGCATAAGGAGAAGAGCTCATCCGAACAGTTGCTGTGAAAATATTTGTAGAAAAGACAGAGGGAAGCCACATCACGACGATGAGAAAGTAACTGAAGTCAAGATCAATTACATTACAAACCTCTCTTTGAATTTTGTCAAGAATCTCAAGATATATAGTGGAAGCATCGGACCAGACATGGCAGCAATATTCAACGCACAGACGAACGGAAGATTTATAAATGTGCAAGATGAATTCTGAGAAGAAAAATTGCCCGGCGTGACACAGTGAACCAACTTTCCTAGCAGTCGACCTATCAATTGATTCAATAAATAAGAAATTACTTTTGCTACATGATTTTATAACAGCTATTTTATATCTGTGATTCCCCCTTTTTTTTCTTCATTCGTTGAGAGATTGTCCAGCATCCACTGCCATATAAGAGCATCGATATCACATAGAAATCCAGCGTTCTTTGGTTCTAAAGAATTTTTTTCCGTTTCTCAGCCCCTTGCTTAACTTTTGGAATACTTCTTTCGCTAGTCCAATGAGTATTCAAATGTCGATGTCGTATTTTCCATCCTTTGAATAAAATCGATGTTTTTAGACGATGCTTGTAAAATAATTGTTAAATCCTGATTGAAAAATAAATAAAATGTTCTTTTTCTTCCCAATTTTTCTTTGAAGACGAGAATTTTATCGAAGTAAATATGGCAGAAAAAAAAGCACTCAAAAGAAATTATAACAGACAGGAATTTAAATGTTACGATTAAGCGAACTTTAAACGTTGTCTTTTCCAGTACAACGTTCTAACCCCGATGTTATTACTAGGCACGTCTCCTGAGTGCTTTCATCAATAATAGCCAAACCCCAACTGCCCATTTCTTAATAGGAGCCGGCTGCCATTGGATCGCAGGCGTCGCGACCTTAAATCCATCACGAAAGCCTTTCCTCCCTGCCGACGAGTCCCAATATCTTTTTCCTCCAGATAGCGACAAGAGGAACTCCACCCGCCAGCCAACCATTGCCCCAGTCCCGTGCCAAACAGTGCCTGCCTGTAGCATAATGGCCTCGTTTCCATATCATATTTCAGCAAAACAAAGCAGATCACTCTTTGTTGCTGACACACGACACACGGCACACGCCAACAAAATAAGATGGCTGACGGGGGAAAAAAAAGAAAAAAGGAAAGAAAATACGAAATACAGAATGGATCAGAGAAGAGACTGTGTTAGAGAGTGACAAATATACATATAAGTACAAAATAGGAAAGAAATAAACAAACTCTTATAGATATATACATACGAATTGCGACGAAACAAGGCGATACATATAACCTTTGGGAGTACGCTTTGGCATGAGAAGATACATACGAAAGTGCAAGGCATCATTGTGAAGCAATTGCTCGCAAACTAGGGCCATGGATTATTACTAGCACAATGAATTCAATACTATGTAAACACCTCCCAATGATGGCCTTATGCCAAACTAAGTTGAATTTAGCAAATACTTATTTTGGCGTCTCACCATGAAGCAAAGAATTAGTAGAACATATGTACTAAATCAAGTATGAGTTTGCCCCACCCTGGGAGCCATTTAGTTTCGCCTTAAGCCAGACTAAACAAAGTTGGGGTAAGGAAATACTGACAGGGTTAAATAGATAGATAGATAGATAGATAGATAGATAGATAGATAGATAGATATATGAACAGACTGTGATCGACAGTCTTGCTTGGGGTGAACCTTTAAAAAAAGAAAAATAAATAGATAGAAACAGTATCATAGATAGATAGATAGATAGATAGATAGATATAAACAGACTGTGATCGACAGCCTTGCTTGGGGTGAACCTTTAAAAAAGAAAACATAAATAGAAACAGTGTCACAGATAGATAGATAGATAGATAGATAGATAGATAGATATGATCAAAACAAACACACACACACCCAAACACATACACACACACACCCAAACACATACACACACACACATATATTGTCCATATCTATCTAGATATCAGTGTATTTATTATCTATCAAAGTATCTAACTTGCTAGTTCCTTGTTCACATCTATTTTTTTACTTTGTTTCGTATATTCATATCTATCTAAATTTCTGTATTAATCAAAGTTGGCTGGAAGCCATGGAGTCGGAAGAGATTTCCAACAAGCCTTGAACCTTACCGCCAAGCCTAAGTACCATAGCGAAGTGTTCATCCGAACAATTACCATGAAAGTTATATAAAAAAGTCACAGAGAAAATCCATTACGGTGGTTAGAAAGTGACTGAAGCCGAGGTGCCAGGTCAGAACCAATAATATTGCTGATTCTTGCTTGGATTTTATCAAGAATCTCTAAATATACAACAGGAGCAACGGACCATACGTGGCAGCAATATTCAATGCATGGATGAATGGCGCACTTAAAAGATATGTAAAATAGATTCAGGAGATGAAAATTACCTAGCACGATACAGTGAACCTACTTTCTTCCCAGCAGAACTATGGAGTATTGCTGCCATATATGGTCTGGAGCCCCTTCTGTTTGCCTCGGGGTTCTTGATAGGCTCCAAGGACGGATATGCAATGTAATTGGCCCTGATCTGGCATCTCGTCTGCAGTCGCTCTCTCACAAACGCGCCGTCGCCTCTCTCTGTCTTTTTTTACAAATACTTTCATGGAAATTGCTCTGATGAGCTGCTTTCGCTGGTTCCCAGACTTCATGAATTTAAGCGTTCTACGAGGCTGGCATCCCGCTCTCACACTTTCACTGTTGAAACTGTTAAATGTAGCCGTCTCTTCTACTCCAATAGCTTCATATCTCGCACCTCTCGCCTGTAAAACTCCCTTTCCTATTCCTGTTTCCCTGAGAGCTATAATCTCCAAATATTCAAATGTAATGTCAATCGAGATCTCCAGTTGCCTTGTTCTATCCACTAACCTTCTCCTCATCCTTTCCTCTATCACTCCTATCTGATCTTGCTCCAAATCTTCTGTAACCCCTTGCGTCCTAGTGGCTTCCCGCCTTGCTTTGGGTGAATCGATTTAAAAAAAAAACAAAAAAAACTAGCAATGGATTCAGTATAATTTTTCCACTATATGTCAATTGAGAATGTATGTCAGAGAAGTCGCGAAGAATCACTATCATGGAGGTTAGTCTTAGCCATGCTGATCAGAGGCGAGAAGAGGTCTTTCGTGTAAATGATAGACAGAAGTTTCGTTTTGTAGGCGTTGAAATTAACAAGCCATTCCTTGCTCAAGTAGGTCATTTTTGAGATCAGCTACCAATTTGACCTTATCGAACTAATCAGACTTAGTAATAGGCATTTAAGAATATTTGATATATATATATATATATATATATATATATATATATATATATATATATATATATATATATATGGATGGTATATCAAACTACTTTGACACCAAAACAAGGTAAAATGTTTATATGAACATGTAACCAAAAGACTTTTCGTTTTACCTCAATACACCAACTCATAATAAAAGTTCAAAATATTCTCCGCTTGCTTCTACACACGCTTGCTTCCATCGAATCATTGACTGACGGACCCTTTCAAATACTTCTACACGGTGTCGAGTGGTTTCGTAGGCCCCCATGACACGATGGTGAAGAGTCTCTGCATTATTATTCTCTGCTGCATAAATCAATTTCTTTAGATGACTCCACAGATAAAAATCCAAATTTTTGAGGTCAAAGGAACATGCAGGTCATGGAACCAGTTCTCCCCTACCTATCCATCTTTCATGGTAGATGTCAGCCAGTGCATAGCGAACAATGGGACTAAAATATGCCGCAGCCCCATCATGCATGAACTATATGCGTTTACGTATTAGCAGTGGTATCTGTCTATATTTCTGAGATGAGGTATTATGTATACTATTTACATTATTCGGACTATTGTCCTCATCTTCGTTGCCATATTTATCCGGTCCTTCAGTATCTGTCTATACTTCTGAGATGAGGTATTATGTACACTATTTACATTATTCGGACTATTGTCCTCATCTTTGTCGCCATATTTATTACAACGTTTCGGCCCTTCAGTATCTGTCTATATTTCTGAGATGAGGTATTATGTACACTATTTACATTATTCGGACTATTGTCCTCATCTTTGTCGCCATATTTATTACAACGTTTCGGCCATTGTACGCTCCGGCCTTCTTCAGGTGGTTGGAATGTCGAACTGAATCCTTTATTTCGCTCACTGAGGTAGACTGTTCTAGTTCCACGTGCCATGTTTAATGGATGTCAGTTATCAGTTATCTCCTGTTAATTCCCCTCTCCAAGTTCTCCACTGCCTTAACTAGGTATTGAACTCACACTCTTTGAGTCCTGTTACTGTAACTAACGCCTTTATCCACTGTGCCATAGTGTAGCAGGGGTACATCCTCCAGCAGGTTTGGAGGTGTGTTCGAAATAAAGTCCATATAGACAGCTCCTGTAAGACGTGCTGGGAGAGCATATGGACCTACCAGGCAGTCACTTACAATTCCAATCCACGTATTAATAGTAAACTGACGCTGCTGTCTAGATTGTATTGTGCCACGGTGATTCTGATCCGCCCACAAATGTTGGTTGTGTAAATGAGATGTTCGACATGCTAGGGTCACTTGACATGTGCTGATACCTGGATTGTCTCCGACAGCCTTGTAGAATGTGTTCTTCATGGTCAAGAGCACGAGAAGATCTCGGTCTTCCTCGATCCATAGTTTGTGGTGCCACGGATCCTGTCTCAGCAACGCGATGATAAACAGCAGCAAAGGTTGAATGACTTGACTGCCTTCGGTCGGGAAAAGCAATCTGAAACAGCCGCGCGGCTTCCCACCAGTTACCGTTCGCGCGGTCGTTTGTAAAAATCATATCTGCCTGCTCATATGAATATCGTGACATTGTTAAATGGAACACTTCCCAGTTAACTCACCACTCGTTAAAAGTTGAAGACAGACTAGCCACAAATATACACGAATGGCAAATGTAACCTAGTCTACATGACAACACAGCGCCATCTACTGTAAACTTTCTTTAAACTCAATAACTCAGAAACGAAGGATTTGTGGACATATGTTTATATGGACTTTTGTCTTTGTTTTAGCGTGAGGAACCCGCTTCAAAGTATGTAAAAGTATTTTTGATAAACTCTGTACACACACATATATATATATATGTGTGTGTGTATTCTTTCAATTCTGTCCCCGTTGCTTAAATTTCCCAAACAGCAGGTTATCAATAAATCACTCAACACGTCAAAAAACAACGCCTGCTTTTCTGCTATATTTTAAACTAAAAGTAATATTTTTTACTTCAGACTAATAAAACATTAAATCATATTTTTCTCAAATTTTATTTTTGAAAGACATTTTTTTAAAGAAGATAATTAATTTGTTGACAGATTTGTCAATATGGAGGTCCAGTATTTACATTAGTCGGACTATTGTCCTCATCTTTGTCGCCATATTTGTCACAACGTTTCAGCCGTTGTACGCTCCGGCCTTCTTCAGGTGGTTGGAATTTCGAACTGAACCCTTTATTTCGATCACTGGGGTAGACTGTTCTAGTTCCACGTGTCATGTTTTGATGGATGCCAATTTTCCCTCTGAAAGTTCTCCACTGCCTTAACCAGGTATTGAACTCACCTTCTTTGGGTCTGTCACTGGATCTAACGAACGCCTTTATCCACTGTGCCATGTGTCCTTGAGGACAATAGTCCGACTAATGTAAATACTGTACATAATACCTCATCTCAGAAATATAGACAGACTCCAATATGGAGGTGTTTATAGATTTTGTTGCATAGCCCCCCACACACACACACACCTGGTGGAGTGGTCTTGCGCGACAGCGTCGGTTCACTCATATGTTGTATCCCCCACTCTCTCTCTCTCTCTCTCTCTCTCTCTCTCTCTCACTCACTCACTCTCTCTCGTTTTCTCCTGACCGGTTGGCGAAAAGGTTTTGGGTCCAGAGACAAAAAGACATCGACAAAGAAAATTTTAAACTTAAGTATTTTATTAACGTTGAGGTATATATTTCTAACTATGCAGTCGGGTCGCTTTCCATCTTCTGGAAAGCCGTTTCCAGACATGAAAGAAACAGGTCTACATTGTTTGACTCGACTCGACTCACTGAAAACCTTTTTCTATCTATCGTTTTCACTCGACTTCCATTGTTTTGTCTTGTATCTGATCTCAAAGATCAACCTCAGGAAATCGGAGCAGCGATACACTTCTCTAAAACATAATGGTCTGCTAAACTATTATTTAACAATTTTAGTGATAAGGAGAAAAAAAAATTTAATCAATTTAAATTTTCTTTGAAATACAGCATTTCGTTTTTTGGGGAAAATTAAATTCAAATCTATTAACCTGGAATTAAACTAAAATTAAATCGCCAAGAAAGATTTTTCATCTTTTTAAAAGACATTTTAAACTTAGGTATTGCTATTTTCTGGCTATAACAATATATATAATTACCGTAGCGTTTCGCTATATTCACTTACGTGCAAATAGCTTGGTAAATATATGAATCCACATCTTTTACATCCAGCAATGGGTTAATTAGTAATACTTGTATCATTAAACCATTATTATCTCCAAAAAAAAATTCTTACCATCTCAAAATATTTTCTGGCTTTAAATAACATGCAAGAAGTCGACAAGCCGTAGAAAACGAATCGATCACTCAAACAAATATTGATTAGCTGCAGAAACAGGTATTTTAGATTTATTAACATTCTCGGGAATATAAATGTATAGAAATTACCGTGACCATAAAATGAAAAATCAGTTTCTATACTGATTGTATTATAGAATTGATCCTCTATTTTAAATCCACATTATAATTTCGGGATTGTTTATCAAATTCTGATTAGGTATGAATCCACCTATTCTCCCCCAGCTATGGGTTAATTAGTAAGACTTGTATCACTAAATTA